TAAAAAATTTTTTCTTAAGTATGCTTTTCATAAAAATGGAGAGAAGATGATACAAGGGAGATTAAAATAAATATATATTTCAGTATTTGAAAGGAATTGGATACCATGGTAATATCCATAAGCATAGACTTTAGAAGTAATAAGTGGTATGCACATGCAGATGTTTAAAGACATGAACAAACATTAAAATAGTTTTATTGTTGTTATTGTTTAWTTTTCTTTAATAAGCATAACTGTTACAACTCGGGTAAATTATAACTGGGGCCTTCTGGGCTTTGAATAACAGTGTGTAAACAGTTTGAGGGGATCTTAGCCTATCTCTTGTCTGAATAGTCTGTGGTAACATTTAGAACCCAGTTAAAGTAGATATTACATGTACTGTATACACTGTTCGGTTAAATCAGCACAAAGTAGTGGGATGGGTGTGTATGATATAAAGCAGCAAAACCTTGACTGTGTTGGTTGGGTTCTGTTTGCCTTGGCATCGTTTAATAGTTTTGATGAAGTTCCCTAATTAAATCTGTGCCTTTTGGGGACATGCCAAAGGATTAAGGAAACACCTGGTTTTAAAAAATGTCATATGGGATGACCCTTTTAACTTGAAGTCTAACTTTAATCCTAGACAAAATGAAAGAATAATTGAAGATAAGCTTGAGTATCTGAAAACTCATCTTTTTTCCCCAAATGTGAGTTGGTCTAGCACTACCTACAGAGSAAGACTCTTGTAATTTGTGCCACTTAGCATAGATTGTGGGAGCTTGGATCTAGTCAACAAATGCGATACAGTGCTTTGATGAAATCAGAATCATTTGATAAATGAACTAAGGTATATATACTGGTTTGGCTTTTTTTTTTTTTTTCTTTTAAACTATGCCTCTTGTCAGTGTTCACTCTTCCCACCCTCACTTTTGTATAGGGCCAATCCATAGTGAAGAATTTCTCTATTAAAAAGAAGTGTAATATAAGAATAAGAATAAGAATATTCTTATTCTTATAAGAATATAAAAATTCCACTGAAAAACAGTGGAAATTTGGGACTGGTGTGGTGTAGTGTAGAAGTCCTAAGAAAAAGTTTATCTTCATTAATCATTTACCTGTGTGATGAGACTTAAGTGCTTCTACAGAGAGGGAAATTAGTTTAATGAAAACTTTAACCTCRGGAAAATTGGGAGTTAACTTACTATCATCATGAATGTCAAAGCTGATGGAGTTTCATCCACAATAAAGATGTGCCCCTAATTCTCGATTGCATTAATATAGCCAATGGGAGAAGAAGAATGAGAACTTTTAATTCTCAGACAAAAACAAACAAACAAGAGCATAAAGAAACAGATAATTTTAAGCTAGCACCAGTGTCAAAACTKGTATTAGTTATTAGAAAAGATTAAAATATACTCAAAGTTTCCAGAAGACACATTGTCAGAGTTTAAAATCACCAAGTTTAAAAATACATAAATTATGTTTGTTCTAGTTGGATTAAAGTATTCCACTCCTCAGCCATCTGGAAAAAAATAATAGGATTTTGACGGATTGAAGTTAAAGAGTGGAAGTTAAGTATAGTCTTTATTCTTAATGTACTAAAAAGTTTTGAAATTTAGAATAATATGTAAATTTTATATGTAAATAATATGTGTAAATAAAATAATATGTAACTTTAAAATAGTTTTATTGGTTTATAAGCAGGAAGAAATTATTGGAGTGTCATGTGCAAGCAATTAAATATATTGTAGTGGTCTCCAACATGGTAATGAAAAACCTGTGGTCATCTCTTTTGGAGCGAACTTTGTAGAACACTTTCATGGCTGCATTGCGCTGATTGTTTACAGCAGTCAAAGGAAGTGGGTTTTAGTTATGTAACATTTTCTGTGGAACAGACAGGCTGCTGTAGGAATATAGATACTAGAGAAGGATGAGTTTTGTGTGGCAGGTTGGTTTGTTATTACTGCAGAAACACAGTGTAACTGTATCCTTTTCCTATAATTTCATTTRTATATAAGAAGCCAAGAAATAGGGCTCATATGTGGAAGTAATTATTCTTCCACCTGTTTTATCCAATTGYGTTACAGCCTTAGAGTCATGATTCTGAATTCAGTAAGTTAGGTAAGACTAGGTAACAGCATGCTTTGTCATGTGTTAAATAATTGCTACCTGGATAGCTATTAAAAGTCAATAACATGAAGAACATAAAAGCATGATTATTTCAGGTTTGTCCTTGAGATGTGGATCAAAGTTTATGTTCATTGTACAAATGAGTCATTGCGAGAATGAAGAGAGCACTAAAGGACATCTCTACTTTACATTAATCGTTTGTGGAGATTAAGTAAAATTGTTACATAAATGTTTTCTGTATTGAATATTAGTTTTCCATTTGGGGAGAAGAAAATAAAAATAAAGGGTAGGTAAATAAATCCTTTTAGTGTTTAGTTGGTGAAGATGAGATGGAAAAAAAGACCCTCTACAGAGTTTCTGTAATAATACAAATGGCCAAAATGTCTTACAGTGTCTTGGACCATTTTTGATGATAGTTTTTACCTTTGAAATAGCTTTATTTGAATCAACACGGCTTCTTCTTGWAAGTCGTGATTTGGTGGATTTTTTAGATTAGGGGGAAAAAGTTCTTTTGAGRGTCCAAAAAATGCTTTCTGAGTTCAGTCCCTGTTTTAAACTGTGAACTCTGTCCTTCAACCATCAATAAAAATGCATTGTAATGTCTGTGAATGAGTATGTCACTCTCTGCAATTTTACATATCCGTGCATGAAGCAGGCAAGATTTTTTTGATCATCTTATTTATGATACCTATACACACAAAGTTTTATTATGGTGTACTAAAAAATATTTGCAGGACAGTATTTGTTGTTGTATTATCTGCTTCAAGCTGTATTTTAAAGATGCAATATACTAAAATCTTAGTTCCTCAAATATGAAGGTTTCTGAGATTGAAGTCTTGGCTTCTTTATCTTTTTCCTTCATATTAAAAGAAAATCTGAAAGAAGATTTTACCTGAGCGTATTTAACACCATCTCCATGACAACCAGCTAATTAATCGCTATCAGTCTGGCTTTGGTCCTCTTCAGTGAACTGATACTCCCCAGCTTTTTTTTCACATATCTTCTGTGTTTTCTGTGAAGGTCATTTATTTAGAGACATTATATCTTTAGGAAAAGAAGCCTGTTAATACAAGAAACAGCTTTCTTAGAGCACCTTAAATCTACTTGTGGTTTCCTCTTTTGCTTCTGCACAGTAGCAGGGATATTTTAAGGTTAGGGTTTGGGGTTTTTTCCCCTTCTTGCTTTTTCTGATATTTCTGTTTTTTTCCTTTTGGGCATAAGAGTTCAGTAGTACATTGTGACTGTGGTCATATTGYAATACAGGATTGTCCAAGTTAAGTTTGTATCTTCATAGTGTAGTAAGTAGGAGTGGGCTAAGAGTTCAGGTAGTTCCTTTGTTTCGTGGGACAGATTTGGCTGGTCTGACCCTCTGTTGCTCCTTTGCTGTAAGTATTAATGCTTGCTTGAGTAAGTCATTGCTACACTATCCTGTAGTCAGAGTTTCTGCAATGCTAGAGGTATTTGGAATCAATCAAGATACTTGCCATGCCTACTGCATAATTTTTTTACATTTAGAAATTTGTTTATAAATGTATTTTATTTGTAAATGTTTATAAGTGTTTATAAATGTATTTGTTTACATTTATAAATTTGTATTACTGTTGGCAGTAATTGCAAATTTTCTCCTATAACAACAGTCTTCAGCTTGTGAACTGTAAGAACATAATGCCCATAGAACATAATGTCTGTAGGTGATCAGACCAATTGTCCATATAGCTTAATATCCTGTCATTCCTAACAGCCTCTCAGGGAGGATACTTGTGATAGAYTGTAGGGACAGGGAAAGGCTGAGACTATGCAGGATATTTTCCCCAGAACRTTCTCCTAATCTTCACCAGTCTGTTTCTGAAGAGTTCAAAGCTTGCAAGCAGTAAAAAGAAGGAAAGCAGAGGTTAGGAAAGAAAATTATATCTCCATCCTGAATACTTACTGTATTTTTTAAGTTTTCATTTTATTTCTGAATGACTGTTCACTGCCTTTTACAAATTGAATATGTTGGTATGTATGAATTTATACCTATTATGTACAGTTGAGTATATCCCTCAGTCCTGCAGTCTCCTTTTCACTGGCACATGTTTGTGGGACACCTTAATTTTTGCATGGTAGTTTGTGGGACACCTTAATTTTGTCATGTAATTTAGTAGTACTTCTAAAAATTGGATATTGATGTTCAGGTGTAGTTATGAACTCTCTTGAAGATTGATGCAGTACATTAAAAGGATTGCCATTAGATAGGCATAGGAAAGCAATAGGAAAATCTGTGTTTTGACTGAATATTTTACATATTGCTGAAAGCAAGAAGTGCATAYATTATGCTGTTATGGTGGTTTTAAGGTGCACATAAAACACTAAAGAAAGCAACAATGTTGAGGCAACTCTTATTTTTCTTTATGAGTATCAAGCCAACAAAACAGATTCAGAAGAATGAGATGAACTGAGAAGGGCTGGAAATAGTTTTAGGTAGTTTCCCTCATTAGCTGTTTTTTAAATTTTTTTTTAAAGTTCAGTTATATAGAATTAATAAATGAAGATAATAGAATGATCTTTTACATAATAAATGAAAGGGAAGAATGATCTAAGCAGATCTGAGCAGTTTAATACATGTGATTTGCATGAAGAGAAGTGATGACAGGAAACTTGAACTGAGTTGGAGATGAGTTAAGTTGTAGAAGTGACCATGAAGATGGGAAACATGTTTTTTGTGGTAGATTATGTCTACTCTGAACCATTTTCATTCAGCTACTTATTTGACATTGTGACATATCTGAGTTTAGAATTACACACTAATGATTTTCTCTTTTTTTCTTTTTTTTCTTTTTTTTTGTTTGTTTTGTTTTGTTTTGTTTTGTTTTGTTTGTTCATGATGTGCCACTGAACTATTTCATATGAAGATTGCTGTGTTCACTGTATCCTGGCTTGCTTGTTCTGTGAATTTCTCACCCTCTGTAACATTGTTCTGGGACAAGCATCCTGTGGCATCTGCCCTTCAGAAGCCTGCTGCTGTTGCTGTGGGGACGAGATGGGGGATGACTGTAACTGCCCATGTGATATGGATTGTGGCATAATGGACGCATGTTGTGAGTCTTCAGATTGCTTGGAGATCTGCATGGAATGCTGTGGGATCTGCTTCCCATCATGAAATATTTATCCCTCTCTATTTTATTCTCTATAAAACTGGAGTGCTTTTCTTTAAATACATTTGAAGAAAGACAAGGTAAGATTTTCACACTTGCACTGTTAATTCCCTTTATATAAATATTTTTTTAAAAGCAATCCTCAAATCTGTATTCTAACACGAATTGTATAGTTTTGTATGTGAAACTAAAGCTACATTCCAGCTTCCTTTTGGCTTTGCAAATGGAAGAGTTTATTGAAACTGAATTATAGGCCTGGTAGGCCATATGAAGGCAAAGTTGCCATTTGAATCAAGTGATAGATTTTGGTCAGAATACAGGCTGCAAAGCAAAGCCTTAAATATTTGCCTTTACCTACTATAATGTTTAAACACTCAAGTGCCTCAAGTGCATAACATGCTTTTGCAGGCATTCTGAAAACCAAAATCTCTTTATATCTTTCTCTTTGAGTTGAAAGCAACTTTGCTCTATTGTTTTAAACTTTATTCAAAAGCCAGCATCAGAAACCTGCTGTTGGGTTTGCTACAGTGATCATGTTGGCAATTGTCTTTTGTTTTCAATATCTCATTGATTAGAATGCAATTGCTGGTATTTTCCATTGCTGAGATTATCTGACAAACTAGTCAAATGTRAGTTTTGCCCTGGACTAGAAGAGTACCAGCATTTCTTTGTTATCAATCAAGAAAGAATAGAGAACTTACCATTTTACTTCAGAGCTATTATTACTTGAAATGCCTCTTTTTTGAAACAGACTTTGGAAATCTTTGGTGTAGACATGAAATATATCCTTAGAGTAACAAACTAGTAGACTAACAAATCTTCAAAATTTGGCTATGCGAGGAAAATTATTAGAAGTAAAGAATCTAAATCTGTACATTAAGTGATCTGGTCAGTGTTTGTGGCTTTAGAGCCAGTGTCRCATAACTTAGTATTTATTTCTTTGCTGTGTGAGAAAGATCTACAGAGGGAGGCAGAATTTAAACAGGGTATAAAAACCAAATYAAAACTGACTTGATCAAGGAATTCTGCCATTAAATGCAAAAAGCAAGTGAAAAAATGTTTATTCTCAGATACTTTTAAAATATTTTTTAAAGTTTTTGTTTTAAAAAAGATGTTAAAATATATGATATGCTTTAAAATAAAAGGATTGGGATTTAAAATGTTTGAAAAATATAGTTAGGATCTGTTGGACCCAGCTGTTATGCCATTAAGGCTTTCCAAGAAATATCTCTTTTGTAATTGTAATTGTGGAACACATTAAGAGATTTATGGCATTCCCAGATTTAGGGAATCAAAGTACCCATTTTCTTTACCATCTTTTAATTTCTCCTCTCTATGTCTGTAGCTCAAGAACTTTTCTGTGTAAACCACCTACCCATCTTGATCTCACATACTTAAACTTTCCTATTTACACTCCRGATGTCCCATTTATAGGCTGTAGATTTGTAGATCTCCTAAATTCAGTCCTTGTTACAAGAGTCATTAATAGCCAGTAGCATATGTGTGTTGAGTGAATTGGCCATAAATGTCTCTTTCTACTATAGTGAATTCAGTTAATGCAAATGTGACAAGCTAAAAATCACAGGAGTGTGAAGCTAAGTCAACAAATGGTCTGATACTAACCAAAGCTTCTTCTTGTGAACACTGACTGGTAGTGCCTACTACTGCAAGTTATCACTGAAGCCAAATCTCAACTATACTAGGGAGCTGGGAAGTGTTATATTTTGCCTTAATGTATGTAGTGTTGTGGTGTGTTCTGATGCAATGCAGATTCACCCTCAGAGGCTTTCCTGATCTGGTTTTTGATAGTTGCTACAAGTATTATTTCTTATTATGGTTTGGAGTTTTTTTGGGGTTTTTTTTTTCCATATATTGGGCCATATTCTGMTCTGTATTGCATTTCCATTCATGTCAGAATTTTCCATTGGTTAAATTCCAGTTAGAGAGCATAAAAATATTATGGTAATAGGCAGGCTAATAAGGAATCATGTAGTTAAATTGATAAATTCCCAGTGCTCAGAATCAGGCCCATGGGGCTCAATTATGACTCCTAAAAGGCTGAACCACATTGGGATGGGGGAAGAGGTGCCTTGGTTGAGTGGCATTGCCTGGAGGCATTTTGTCTTTGTAAGGCATGATGCCTCTGGGGAAATTGGGGCATCACAGTGAGCATTGGGACTCAATGCACCTTGGAAAAAGTCTAGACAGTGCTTTGTCCATTGTATGTCTATGGTTGACACMGTGGTTGTGGGAACATGTTCTCTGGGGCTAGACGGCACCATGAACTGTCTTCCCTCATGTCCTTCTGGTCACAGAGAGGTGAATTATGGCTGTTTCTTGTCTGATTGTGCTTTTGGGACAGAGAAGAAGACTTCTTGTCCTGCCCCAATATCCATGCCCTGCTGGAGCAGTTCCATTTCAGTCTTTGGAAAATTGGACATTTGTATATCATGCTATTAGTGAATGCTAGGTCTTACTAAAAATTACTTTTACTGCAGATTAATATGGTTTGAAAAAATAAATAAAATACCAATCTAGGGAGTACTTCTCCTGTGTAAAAGTTATCTATACAGTTTGCCCTGCACAAGCCCTTGTTTCTACTTACTGGAACTCAGTGGGTTTTTGTTATATTAAAATTATGAAAACCTCAGAAAAGTATTTACTATTAAGCATTCACTTTTTTACTGTTAAAATACAAACAATATATGAGAACTTGGTTCATGCATATGTGTATGTAGTCTTTCTCAAACATATGGACACACACACACAGATTTGTTCTTTTCCCAATTCATTTGTGAAATACCAGAAAGTAGAAACAGTGTCATTAAACCTCATAGTGATTAGAAGTATCAAAGTATTACAGACAATTGAAAAAATTAAAGATTGTTTATTTTGTTTGACATTTAAATGTAATCTGCTACTGTTTGTCATAGTGATATTAGCACTTTTGAAAAATGTATCTTTGTAGCAGAGGATATTAGCATGTAGTTTAAGGAATTCCTTTTCTATATTTATATTCTTAAATTGTGTTTTGTAATTTTCACTCTATAAACAATCTTGTAAGCACCTTGTGTAATGAAAACAAGCAGAATTAGAAGTCAAATGTGAAMATAGAGTTTAAATRAAATGAAAACATTAGAATTKTACTGTTTCTTTTATAATAATTCTTGTGAACTTGTACAGTGTTTCAGTTTATAGTTCTGCAAACTGGCCCATTTGAAAAACATGCTGTTTGTATTTTATATCAATTGGAYGTGCTACTTGCAAACACTATTTTGAAATAAAGATCTTTATTTTGAAGCTCCGGGATATCATCTTCTTCTAGTCTTGTCTTGTTACTCTGAAGAATAATTTCATGTGTTTTTTGTGGTTTTTTTTTCTTCTGCATTAACACTCTTTTAAGGTGTTGGCCTTTGGGTGATTTGCACAGAGGATGAACCAGTCTACAAGTTGTCTCACAGGTGGAGTTAAGCCAAATTGGGTACTTGAAGCTATGCTATCATGAACCTCCAGCAGTAAAAAAGTTTGTCTTTAGGAGGGAAAATTAATTCCCTTGTGAAGTTGGGTTAATTAGGTRAAATTCCAGTAATGATTAAATTTTGTCAAAATGAAAATTATTGTAATACATCCACAACAAGTCTTTGGCTTACTTAAAACAAGCTGAACCAAGATTGTAATCGTCTCTTAGGATTCACAGTATTCCTTTTTCATGTTGCTCTAAGCTGAGYGTGAACATCCTTGTGCTACTTTAAAACAGCAGAAACTGCATGTCTGCAGTCTTCATACACTTTTTTTTCTACTTCTGTACACCTGTAGAGGGTAAAAAAAAATGTGTCTCTGGCCATTACATAGGAAAGTTGATGAAGCTGGCAGAAATTGTGTTTCAGTGCATATCATGAAGCCTTGCATTGAGACCGTGTGCCAAAATCTTTAGTAAAAGAACGGATAAACACACAAAGACCCCCATTTGAGACTTACTTTAGTTGGTTTTGCCAGTATCCATAATACATAATGTTGCTAGAAAGAGTATGATTTTTTTTCTCCTGTGAATAAGGATCAGGAACATTCAGGAGCTTTTGGATTGAATAATGACTCTATTTCAGMTATAGTCCTCATGTTAAGGTATGTTGTTGGCTTTAATTAATTMCTGTTTTTATAATACTCTAAATGAGAAACTTTTCTGAGCTCTTCACACATTCAGGCTTTTTTCAAATTATCTTAATGGTTGCAGTATTTGATGTRTGTTCTTGGAGAGCAATGCCAATTGTATTGATGTATCTCCATGATGAAGCTTTTATTGTCTCCAGTGTTGTAACTTTGTAAAAGGCAACAGATCATAGAATGAATCATATATCTGAAATCTTACTCTTGGACCCAAAACGAAGTTAAACATTAGAGTGTCTTGACTTAATCTTTAATTGAGTGCATATACCGTGTACTGGTGGTGGTGACAGTGGTAGCTCCAGAATCCTACAGACATCAATCTTACTTTTTTCTTTACCTCCCAAACCTTTTGCCAGTTCTTTGCACTTCGAAAGAGAGCAAGGAGATCTTAATGCAATTTTAACATTGAAAGAAGTTCAGTAAAATTAAGGCTCTTCACTCATGTCCAAGATGCACRTGTTGAGTGTGCTCAGTGCACTTGAATGTGAATTTGATTGCTTATACAAAATGAGCCTTCTCTTAAACACTTGCTTACGCCAGTTGCAAGTGATTTGGTGCTAGCGTCATAAAAAGATGGGTTTTCTCTCCTTTAGAAATCTTGGCTATGATGGGCTATTTCTGCTAGAGTTGGAAAGTGAACGTTCTCTGAATTACCATTCTGCAAAAACAGGCAGATGTTGAATTTGATTAGATAATCTCTTTATGCTTTTAATCATGGGCTGGTTTGGGTTGGCAGGAACCTTAAGTATCATGTGGTTGCTACCCTCTTGCCATGGGCAGGGACAGCTTCAGCTACATCAGGTTTCTCAGAGCCCCATCCAGCCTGGCTTTGAACTCTTCCAGGGATGGAGCATCCACAACTTCTCTGGATAACATGTTCCAATGCCTTATCACCCTCACACTGGGAATTGCTTCCCAATACCTTATCTAARCCTTCTGTCTTTCAGCCTAAAGCCATTCTTCCTTGTCCTGTCACTACATGGCCATGTAAATAGTCTCTCTCCATTTTCTTTTTAGGCTTCCTTCAAGTAACTGGACGGCTGCAGTKAGGCCACCCCAAAGTCTTTTTTTCAGGCTGAACAATTCCCATTCTCTTATCAGKTCACCACACTTAATAAAACACTGCATACAATGCTGTTTGCTTATTTTATGTATGCATATTATAGTAATTGTTAGTACATTACCATCCAGTGCTCATAAAAATGGAATGTAAGATGAAAGATTGTATAATACCTTTTATACATTTAATAGTACCTTCCTGATTTTTATTCTGGTATGCGTATGCTATTTTAACTGACAAAATACTCCACTATAATTGGAGCTCTTTATATCATCTCTGTAGGATATGTAATTGGTGCCCAAGCACTACACAATTCCTCTTCAATCAGTGATGTGGGATTCAGAAATTTGTCTAATCTCCAAGTTGTGCAAAGTGACCACACTGTGAATATGCTGTACTCCAATACGTTTCATGTTACAATTCTACTTTTTTAGGCACCAGATCCTCACTGCCTACCATTGTTTCCTTAGCTTTGTTGCAAGGTAGTATATTTGGTTTTGTTTTGCTTTTAAATTTTGGTTCAAAGGGAATTGAAAGGACCTTCATTATGGAGATCTGGGACAATACCAAGATATATGTTGCATTGTAAGTTATTTCTCCATCTTTTCCATTATGTTCTCTGCCAAATACAACTTCTAATCAGAGACTTGTAAAAGTGATGTCTACTGGCAATCTTCAAAATAATTCTGCTTACAAGAATAAGACTAGCACATTAGTTTCAAATTAACACTTTTTTGCAGTAGCATATATGTGTATGCTATTTTTATATATATGTATACATATATATATATATATATGCTAGTTTTTTGATTCTGAGCTACGTTCAGTTACTGAGTACTAATAGAACAATCTGAGAAGAATAAAGGTGTTGAACAACATGGATTTCCCTTCCTCCCTAGGAAATGTAGCTTCATTTGTCTGTTTCTTCATGTGAGGAGGAGACACCTTGATTACATATTTAATGTAGACTAACAGCAGTGGTTTAGAATCCACAATAACTTCAAGGTCATTAGAAGTAGCGTGTGAAGGATAAACTGCTGTCCCTGCCTYAGCAATCAGCTTTGCAGCTACCAAGCTTTCATGGGGTTAAGTTTAAGAAAATTAAGGTATCCATGACTGAAATTTTATTTTCACTCTTGTTTCTTCACAARGAGTAATTAGACATATTTACACAATTAAATTTTAGTAAACTATTATGTCAGCTTAACTGTAACACAYATTCTGGTTAAAGTACATTAAACAGCAATCCAGAAGTAATTTAGCTGCAGAAGGCATTATTTTCTATCTAATTATTTGCAAATTAATGAATAAAATTAAATTCCAATCACTGAAAAAATGAAGCAATGGTGAGAATCAGAACTACAGATTAGTTAAAGCTATGCAATGCATAACAGAATTAAAGCCGCCTTTTATTCAAATTCAATGCTTAAAAAAGAACAAATCCATCATCTTGAAATTTGACTTGTAGCTTGACATTAAAAATAATATGAGTGGAATTTTCAGTGGGGTAAGCACAAAACTAGTTCAAGTAGTGTCACTCTCAATTAATGTACTCAGGTGGTGTGCCCATTAAAATTCCCACTTGTGRGTTCAGCTCTCTATGCAAATGGGGTCATTACCTGGAGAATTTAATTGGGTATGACACTGGGAGTAGGAATTTTCCTTTCAAAATAAACCTTCTTGCACACATTTTCACTAGAAATTTGATTGTTACATATACTTCATATTGTTTGGCTCTATAAATATTTACCAAAATTGAGAATGTCCTCACTTACTTATTCTTTTACAGGTAATTCATAATGCATCAAAATGATTTTTAAATTGTTCCATGTATTGCATATGCAAGTCTTGTTACAAAAACCTGTGGCGAAAATATATTTTTTGGTGTTAAAATGRTATTTTTACATGTATCACATCCTTTTAAAGCTGATATTAATTCTTGTAACATCTGAAAGTAGAACCATAATATTTTTGTAGTATATGTACTTGTAAATTAAGAAATGTTGTTTAATGCTGAACTCCTATCTCACACATTGAGAAGGACAAAAATATACAGCGTTTCTGAGTAATACTATCTTCCAACTTTTGCTCGACGTTACTTTTTTATAATTACT